GCCAGTAGCATGTGTTTCTATTGGTGGCGTGCATCCACACATTCCTTGGTGTATATAACAAAATTTATTCCACTCAAAGATAGAAAATCTTAGAGGGAACATTTCTCCCATGTAGTACAAGGCACAGGTATTCATGTTGACACATTCCAGAAGGTTAGCACAGGCTTACCCCAACATAGTTATAGCATAAACACACTCCTTGAAGATGATAAAGGGATGCATTGATCCTGCTTAAAATAAGGATGAAAGGGTAATGGGTGGGAAAGTACAAGGTGTGGGCTGGTAATAGGGATGTAAATACCCCTTTAAAACGTTAACTGGTTAAACAATTAAAATGATGTCATGTAACTGGAATCCAGAAATCCCGTAGTGGGTGGGTGGGGGAGGGGGTGGCTCCTCCAGCCCAGCCCAGCCCTCCATCAGTGACAGGGCTGCTCTGGCTGGCCGGGAGTGCTCCAGCCCAGCTAGGTCACCAAGTAATCAGTAAGCATCATCCAGTAAGGGTAATGCTTACCAGGAAATTAGTTACATCCTCAGCTGGTAACTAATCATATCAGAAGTTTAATATGTAACTTGTTTGTATTAATGTATAAAAGAGAAATCATGTTAGGGTCACTAGCATTTTGTGTGCGTGTGTGTGTGCGTGCGTGCGTTCGTTTGTTCGTTCTCCCCTCATGCTGTCCCAGTCCTGTGCAGGTAGTTGGTTTAGCAGACCTCAGGAGTACCACCCAGAAAGACCACAGGCTTGGTTCAGTGGTGAAGGCACTGACAATAAACATGGCCAAATGAGGGACAGACCTAGTATCCTAGATGAGCTACAGGTACACTAACACTTGTATGCCCACAGTGTTACCAGGTCGGTGAGCAACAGGAGTCTCTGCTGTCCCCGAGGTTGGACAAACATGCCCTTCCTATGATTTTCTCTTCTATACATTGACACAAATGAGTTACATATGAATACCCAGTGTCTCTTACTTCTTAGCAGAACTTGGGTTTTAGCAATGTCATTGCCAACTACTGGACAGTGAACTTGTAGGCATCTGCTTTGACAATGGGCTTACATTGCAGCAAGGGAGGTTTAGGTTGGACATTAGAAAAAACTTCCTAACTGTTAGAGTGGTTAAACACTGGAATAAATTGCCTAGGGAGGTTGTGGAATTTCCATCACGAGCTATTTAAGAGCAGGTTGGATAGACATCTATCAGGGATGATCTTTGTGGTGCTTGGTCCTGCTGTGTGGGCAAGGGACTGGACTTGATGACCTCTTGAGGTCCCTTCTAGTTCTAGTATTCTCTGATTCTATGGCCTGACTTTGGTTCAGAGCATGGCCTGACTTTGTTGCCTATCAGACAGAACTGAGACTCAGACCCATCTGTTTTTTTTCCTCTTGCAAGGTGATTTGTTGTTGTGATCTAAAATGTTCTTTCTACAGGTATTAAAGCGGTTCCTTCTACTAAAGTTTCTGTGCGCAAAGACATTGAAAAACGTGATGAGATATGCCTGTACTATATCTGGAGGCACTGCATACATAAAGGTAAGTCTGACTAATAGTGTTCTCCATTAAATGTCAACAGGAACTACCCAGTGCAGACTATGCATCTCTGACTAGAAATGGGAAACTTTCATATCTTAATCACTGGCTTAACATTGATAGTAATGATTCTCCATCCCATATCTGATGCCCTCAGGGTGTCTTGGCCCAAAACAAGGACTAAAAGCTGTCACAATGGTGATACGATTCAGAGGAAAAGCCAAAGGCTGAACAGACAAACACGGATGTGTCCTGAGATGGGCCCTCCCAATTAGAGCCGGGTCATGCTGGAGGGGCAGGGGAACTGCTTGCATGTTTGTGTGTCTAGAGTAGATTGGTCTCCAGAACTGTTAAACCTAATACTTTTGGTGAGTGAGGTTTTTTTTTAAAAAGATAAAAATCCCAGAATTCTGCTGTTTTCAGCTTCTCTGAATGGTATCTGTTTGGGTACATCTACACAGCAGTGTTATTTCGGAATAACTGACATTATTCCGAAATAACATAGTCCATGTCTACACTGCAAGCAGTTATTTCGACTTAAGGTTGAAATAATGTCGAGCTGGAGGACTTCTTACTCTGACTCCTGTAGCCCTCATTTTATGAGGAGTTAGGGAAGTTGGAGGAAGAGTGCTCTTTCTTGGACTTCCTGCTGTGTAAACAGTGCCAAAAGTCAAAATAAGCTATTTCGACTTCAGCTATGCAATCGACGTAGCTCAAGTTGCATAGCTTATTCCGGCTTTAGCCCTGCTGTGTGGATGTGCCCTTACAGGTTTTTTAACCTCCCTGGACTCTCAGTGAGGGATTTAAAAGTAGCCAGCCTTTCACAAAAAAACAAAATTCAAAACAAGACTACAAAAAGAAGCAGCAGATCTGCTATTCATTTACAAATTTAACATGATCAAGTTAAGACTGAATAAGGTTTCAGATTGATTTACTACAAAGGCACTTTTCCCTTTCTTGGTATTCACATCTCCCCATCAGCTGCTGAGAGTGAGCCAGGTCCACCTTGACTCAATTGGCCTCCCTAACACTGGTCCTACACTTGATAAGTAACTCCCTTCTTTTGATATGCTAGTATGTGTGTGACGGAATTGAATGGGAAGTTTCCTCTGGCTAGGACTCCGATACAGGTTGGACCTCCCTTGTCTAGCACTCTCGGGATCTGAGCAGCTAAGATACCTATTAGTTGCATGTCTGTGTGGCTATGAAGCTGTTTTCTGAGCTCTGCTCAGAAGTTCAAAGCTCCCGTGCAGGCAGGGAGCTCAGCTGACCGGCAAGGGGGGCTGGGAATTGTCTCGCTAAGCAAACAGCTAAATGGAGCTGCACATGATTGAAGCTGAGCAGCTCCTAGAGCAGATACAGAAAGAAGATAAGGAGGGAATAAGTGGGGGGAGTGAGGGAGAGGTGAGGGAGGAGGAGAAGGGTGGGAGGGAGTAATTGGCTGAAGGGGTGTCAGAGGAGAGGGGAGTTTGGGAGAGAAGCAGAAACTCAGCACTCTCAAGCCTCCTGGGAAGAGGAGGTGGGAGGGTGCTGGCATCTGTGCAGTGAGGTGGAGGCAGGGGGCAGTTTGCTTGGGGTGTCCCTGACTCACTTGCTGCTGTCTTCTCTGTCTAGGTTGGAGGGAAGGGAGGAAAACTGGCTGGGGGGTACGCCAGGACATTTGTATGATAACATTTCAAACAAAGTTGACATAGGTGTCAATGGCTTAAAGTAAGAAAGAAAAAACATCTTTTTAACAGATTTTTTTTTTGAGGGTTGCAGGTATCTAAAACTCTGATCTTAATGATTTTTAAAAATCTCGTGTTCCTAATTAATACTAGGGATGTGAATGACTGGTCGACTATCCAATAAGCAAATGCTTATCAGATAGTCGACACACTTGTTGACTAGTCGCTTCCCCTCCCCCCCAAGCCCTCCCAGATGCCTCTATCAGAAAGAGGCAGCAAGGAGGGGGAGGAGAAGAGGGGTGCTTCAAAGCAGCAGCGACGTGAAGCTAATGCTGCGAGGAGCATGGCACCAGCAAGGGACTGCAGAAGTCCCCCGTTGGCCCAGTGCTCCCGCAGTGCTTTCGCCTTTGAAGTGTAGCAACAGTGTTGGGACTGTTGCTACACTTCAAAGGCGAAGGAGCCCTTATTGACTAATCGAATAATCGATGCACATTGCATCGACTGTTCGATTAGCCCATTAATCTAAATTTAACATCTCTTATTAATACAGGGAATATTAGATTGCATTAAGGCTAGATCTTTCCTTTGTGGTAGAGTTCTGGCTTTTATGAATCAAAAGTAGCAAGTACTAGGTGTGTTGCTTATTGTTTTGTAGGATGAAACCTTATTTGCAAGCTCTTTGAAACATGCATCTGTCTACATACTCTGAAGCCATGTGTTAATTTGTTCTGGGGCATCTACTGTTCATTTCTTTAGTTTCTAAGGGTATGTCTACACTACCCTCCTAGTTCGAACTAGGAGGGTAATGTAGGCATACCGCACTTGCAAATGAAGCCCGGGATTTGAATTTCCCGGGCTTCATTTG